GACCCCAGCCCCAGGGGGACCCCAGCCCCACGTGCGGCCTCTCAGCCCCTCTGTGCTGGGCGCCCAGGACCACCCAACGCAGCCCAGCCGCTGCTTGGGATGGCTGAGCCGGGACATTCACTCCGCCCCGCCCGCTGGGCACGGGAGAAGCTGGGAGGGGGTCTCGGGAGGGTGGTCTCGGGGAGACTGCCTGGGGCTCAGCGGGAGGGCGGACGTGGGCTCTGGGGACACAGACCCTGCGGCCCGTGGGCGCCCGGAGCGGGTCCTCCTGCTCGCTGTCTCGCCGACCTGCCCATCTGGCCCGGCCCAGCTCCCCAGCTCCCCAGAGCTGCTGGGGCGCTTGGCGGCCGCTGTGTTTTTTGAGGTGCGTTTATTTAGTGACGCGGCCAGGTGACTACACTTAGCAGCAGGGTGGAAAAACACCTGCCTTAGGATTGCTTATTTTTGGAATGCTTTGTGCTTTCCACGGAACATAAACTGAAACAACCTGTCTCACAACCAGTCACGCGTGACTTGTGCCCACGCACTGGGGTGTCTGGCAGGCCCGGCGGGCCCCGCCCTGCGCTGGGCGAGCCCCACTTCCTGGTGTGCATGAGGCCACCCCGGCGTCTCAGCCGCTGGGCCGGGGCTTCTGCCTCTGAACACCCCGTTTTCAGGGCCCAGATCTTGAAGCCTCACTGCTGTCCTGCCAAATCCAGCTTGTGTCCCCTCCGGGACAGTGTCCACTACCATGGCCATGCCGCCTGCATGTGTCCCAGTGACGGGCGCTCCGGCCGGCTCAGCGCGCGCCCCAGTCCCCCCGCGGCCCTGGGATCCAGGCGCCCAAGGGCCCGCCAAGGGCTCCCGAGTCAGGCTCACCGCGGGTCACCAAAGCTCAGCCTCCGGCCAGGCTCTGGGTGGCTCCTGGGAGCCTTCGCTCAGCACCCTGAGACCTGCTTTGACCCAGCCTCACATCCCCAAGGCCCCCCATCTCAGCGCCCTGCTCCTCCCAGGGTGCTGCAGCACGGCCCCTCACTATCTGCTCTTCTCTCTCTCTTTTTTTTTTAAATTTTTTTGTTTATGCAAACTAGACCTGGGGCGCAGGCCAGAGGTGCGGTGGGGTGTGGGCAGTGAGAGGACTCCCCAGACAGAGGGGAGCAGAACAGGTATACTGACTGAAATCCACCGCTGAGGGGACAGCAGGCAGGTCAGGGGGCTGCTGTGCCTTGGGGGTGCCTCCCTGGCCAGGGTGACTTGTGCACAGGGGCTGCCCGTAGGCGCCCCCGGTTAGAGCCCTGTGGGCCGCAGACCCGCGTGACAGGGCAGCCTCCTCCCAGGCCGCTCCCGCCAGCCCCGCCGGCTCTTCCTTTCTCTTTATTTTTTAAAGATTTTTAGAGAGATTAATTTTGTTTATTCATGCACACAAGAGCTGGGTGTAGACCAGAGGAGAGGTGAGGGAGTTCACGGAGACAGCGGGAGCGGGTCAGGTGGGTCTGCCGACACCCAGGGGGGGGGGGCGCAGCGGGGCGCCAGGAGGGGTCTGCCACACCCATGGGTCACTCCCTGGTGGCGGAAGGACTCAGGCCACAGTGGCTGTGACAGCTGCACAGCTGGACTGAACCCCTGAGCCACCAGGGTCCCCGCTTTTGGTCTGTGTGTTGTAACAGCATTTCCTTCTCGTGCCTTAAAGTGGCTCCGGAGCCTTCCCCCAGAACACCCCGGCTTCGGCGCCCGGCCCGGTGGGCTTTCACTGTGCCATCTCTGTGGCACCAGAACGCGCACGGGGACGACCAGGGCTTCCCACACCTGCCCCGGGCTTCTGGGGGCCACGCGTGCCCTCCCCTGCCCGGTCCCCACGCCCACCGGGGTGCCCGGCCAGATCTCCCAC